TGGACATGTATCCATGAATCTAGTTAATAAAAGGAGGTTCTGACATACTTTGGAATTTGCAATGTGGATCCAAGGAATAGTGAAATACCCCTAGATAACGCCATGCTAATTGGAGATACTATTTCTGCACATGTGTGTATTTCTAAAGCTGTCTCCATATACAAGGCAAAAGTAGAGAAGAGCCATTATCAACTGTGCTTACATGTACAGTTCTAAGAAAATATTTAAATTAATGACCTAGTATGGAAATTACATTAGTCCATATGTAATGGATGGCTATGGCCATTGCATTGGCTAAAGATAGATCTATCTTCCAGAAATAAATACAACATCTTCCTGGATTTATATCAGTTAATAGCAATGACCAGATCTTTAGAACTAAATTCTGAAAATGAATGGCAAGAAAACTGTTTTATTGTATCTGCCTCAGGTATATTGCCTTCCCATTTTAGAGAATCGCTTCTTCTAATCCTTTAGAAAAAAATTGAGAAATTCATCCAATTTCTGATATTTAATTGCCTTTCCAAAAAAAAACCTTTTAAGCTTTCCTTTTTAGTAAATTACCCTAATATTATCACCATCTTGAGTTTTCAGCCCTGTAACATACTTTTTTTTAGGAATAACTATAAAATTTGCCAAATGTGCTTGCACTATTTACTTTGAATTTCAGTGGCTGCTGACTGTGGCAATGTTAGAGTTGGTGGAGTGGATTCTAACACATCTGGAAGACACCAGATTGGAGAAGGTGCTATGACTACAGTGTTTGAAATATAGCATTCCAAATTTAATTATTTTGTGAGAAATACGAGAAAACAATTGAGCAAGAAATTTGGCAATTCTGCTACCTAATAGTAAAATATTATACATTTTTGCTTCTTTTCACCTCCATCACAATTTTATAATTTTCCTTTTTATCTAATATATTTCTGATATAGAGGCTACCCTGGGAGAAATATTGTCTTGAATTCAAGAAAAAAGAATCCACTTAGAAGGAGCCCTTGCTGTCAGATAAGATAAGTTGGTCCTTTGAGATGGTTGAGTGTGGCCATCTTGAAGAGTTCAAAGTGTGGGTCTTCTTTCCCATTGTTGATAATGCTTTGAAAGACAGGTTTTTTCATGGTGATCCATCACCCTCTAGGGCAGTAGAATAGGGTAATTCTAGTGTGCAATTCAGACCCAAGGGGCACCACTCCATTAAGAACGTTTCTGTGGCAATGCATGGGATCTGAACAGGAACAGTTAACAACTGTATTTATTTGTTTCCCATTCCATTTCTGGGATGGCAGATTTTGGAGTAGGAAAAATTAGAAGATCTGAAAGTTCTGATCCATGAAGCACAAAATGATGGGAATGCTCACAAATCCAAGTGAACTTGATTTGAATGGAAGCAACACATTTCAATTCAGTTCAATTAAGACCCTGCAAAATATTTTCCCAGAATGTGGGAGAATATGCTCCTATTAACTAGTAATGATTGGTGGGACAGAACTTGTCATCTTTGCTACAAGAGAGGAGCACAGTACACATCCCCACAGTGGCCAAATCCCAGTTCTTTTCAAAAACAAAACTAAACAAACAAAAACCAATCAATGATTTTTTTTTCAGTACCAAATAAGAAGGACGATTATTCTAAGTGGAAGAGGTTAGGTTCTGTTCTACCATAGGTGAGCTGTGTGACCAGAGCATATGATAGACTGGGAGGGGTGTGTGTGTTAATTTTAAAAAAAAACATGTCTTTCATCCATTCTTTCAAGGAATATCACAACCAGTCACATCAAGATACATTCCGCTATCTAGTATTTTCCTAACCCCTGCCCCCACTCCCATGTCTGTAAATTCTATTGTTCCCACTTCCCTTTGCTATTTTATTTTCCCCTAGTCTCTTTCATCTTGTAGATCTACAGATCTGGAGTCATTGTGGTGGCTGCGTTACGTCTTTCTTTCTTTCTTTCTTTCTTTCTTTCTTTCTTTCTTTCTTTCTTTCTTTCTTTCTTTCTTTCTTTCTCAAGTGTAGGGAGTGACAGATGGTGGTCTCGCTTTCCCCAGAGAGCGAGATCTCCCTACACGCGAGCGCATGTCAATCTCCGCAGCTCATGTGATAACTCCAGTGGATGACGTGCCAGCCATATGGTCTGGCATCAGAGTTGGTACCCCTCTGCCTGCTTGAAGCGTGCCACTTCCCTCCTCCTTTTGGATAAGACAGTGAAGGAGACGGGGTGGACCTCAAGGAGTCTTCCCCCCCTTTCCTCCCCCCATTTTTTCCCTCCTTACTCCCAAAAGATGCAGGGTCCAAGGACTTGAGGACTCCTCAACTGAGCTTTGGAGGTAAGTTATGTAAGGAGGGGGGGGGACCGAAACTTAAACACGGGGTTGCAACTTGTCTCATCTTACCCCACCCCTGGCCACTTTCTAAATCCCCCCCCTTCGAGCTCTTATCTTTCTCTTCTCTCCCCCCCCCCCACTTTTACACATCCCAATCGATTTGTATCTGTGAAGAGGAATGAATGAAGTGCAGGGTGGGAATGGGGTGGGAGTAAGAGGTAGAAAAGCGATCTCTACGTAAGATGTATAGATCCAAACCTCTGATGTAGCAAATGCCGGTTTTGCATAAGAAGGAAGCTTATCGATCCTTGGGCGGGCGGGGGGGGGAAGCACAATTAAACAATTTAGTAATAAAATTGTGTATTTTAAAATATGGGGGGAGAAATGGATACACAACACACAAACACACACCACTTGTGCATACCTAGCATGGCCTTCGGAATCAGATCTCCAGCAATTACGGGTGCGAAGGGCTCTCTATCTTTTCTAATCTCATCTCGCAAGCGATTTATTCTAGCCTCGGGGTTTATCTGCGCCTGGGTTCGGTTCGTATAGGGGTCTCTCTCTCTCTCTCCTCCCTCCCCCCTCTCTCTCCGCCCCCCCTCGTTGCTTCCCCGCTTCAAAGGCAACATAAAATGACTGCAAACACTCGCGCACAAAACTGGCACATGGACCTATCAGTTCTTTCGGCAGCTCAATCTTCTCCCAGGAAGATGGTCTCAGGTCTGGATGTGCGGGTGAAAGGGGGGGGGGGAATGGAGGCGGGGGGGAAAAGGAGAGGAGGAGGAGGAGGAGGAGGAGGAGGAGGGGGAGGAGGAGGAAGGCGGATCGGGAAGGGAGAAACTGCCGAGATGTCAGTCTCGAGGGTCGCCCTGAGAAGGAGGATGAGGATGGGGATGGTGCCATAGAGAAACATTCCAATCCTTTCTCCTCCTCCTAGGGAGCATGGAAAGAACCCTCCAACGGGAAAACCAGCGGGGGAGAAAACAAAAACCGGGGCCCGACGGAGAAGTTATCAGGATTTTGGCAAGCAAGGGAGGGACGCGGCGTGAAGATTGCGGGGTCGGTGGGGTTTCGGAGCTGCGAAGTGTCTACCTTCAGAAATGTAATGCTCGTTTTAATTATTTTTGGAAAAGAAAGAACCTGGGGAAAGCTAGGGCAAAAGGTCCGGTTTTCTAAGCGGAGAAGGGGGCAGGAATTGGAGAGAAAAGTTCTAGGTTTTTTCTGGGCATTCCCGAGATCCCCGTCTCAAAGCTGTGCTAGCGAGAGCAGCAATCTTTTGCTCCGACATGCCGGGATGCAGATGAGATGGGTTTAATGGTTTTCAATTCCATTAAATCTGGTAAACTAATCAAAAGAGGGGAGCGAGGCTGAGTAAATACAGCTCTGAGTCCCCGTAAGAAATAGAGAAAAATCCATTGTATTTCGATACAACAAAAGGAAAGGGAGGTAATTTGTAATGAAGAAGGGTCAGAGGTATCAAGCTCAGCTTTGCACTAATTAAGCGGGAAAACAGCGTAGACACCAATTAATATTGAAAAGACTTTTTTTAATGAATCAATTGTTTTCAGGGGAAGAATGGGGAAAGCCAATTTCAGGCAAGTTCTAAACAAATCTTCCTGCCCTCTCTCTCCCCTCCCCCAAGTTTCCTCTTTGTATGTGTGTGTGTGTGTGCGTGCGCGTACGTGGGTGTTTGTGAAGTATGCGTATATAAAGTATTGTGCATATGTATAATGTTTTTTTTAATGAAACGAAGAAGGAGTAAGTAAAGCAAGTTGCCATCACATAAATGCAATGCTGTTCGTGTCAGTCGGGAGGAGAGGCAGGTTTAGGAGCCAGTTCACTAAAGAGGTTTAAGACAAGGTTTAGAACAGTTCTACCCTGTGGTTTGAAGGGTGGGATATTCTCTCTCTCTCTCTCTCTCTCTCTCCCTCTCCCTCTCCCTCTCCCTCTCCCTCCCTCCCTCCCTCCCTCTCTCTCTCTCTCTCTCTCTCTCACACACACACACACACACACACACAGACCTGGATAACAAGGAAGACATTAGGCACCAAGCTTTGGCAGAAAAAGCTGCAATTTGTTAAGGAATCAATCTGTCTCTGTCTCTCTCTGTGTGTGTCTCTGTGTTTCTCTCTGTCTCTCTGTCTTTCTCTCTCTCTCTCTCTCTCTCTGTGTGTGTGTGTGTGTGAGTGAGTGAGTGAGAGAGAGAGAGAGGGGGGAGGGAGGGAGGGAGGGAATCAACTGCAGGGGAGGAAGGGTAATGATAATCGATTTATAGTTTAAAATCAAACCGCAATAATATCATAATTCCATTTCCACTGAAAACAGGTTGAGTTTTGGACAAGAGGTGGATATCTGAAGACAGCCTTTTTTCTCTCTCACTCACTCTCTCTCTCTCTCCTTCCAAATTACCCTAAGGATCTGGTGACCAGGCTGGCAGCAAAGATCTTCTTTGGAAGAAGGGAGGACCCTTTATATCTTGGCCAGGAAGATTGAAATCTGTTTAGGAGTGGAACTGTCAGCTTTCCCAGCAATTGGCTGGAAAAGGCTGAGCGACTAAACTATCCGTGGGTTGGGATAGTCTTCCAGGGGTCCAGGGTAATTGATTGGTGGGTGTTAAGTGGTGGATGTTAAGACCAACTTGTGTGACTATTTCTCGTTGCCATTCTTCCCTTCTTTCCGGCCCGCTCATTCCGTGCGCCTTTCTCCTCCCTCCTTCTTCCCCGCCCCCGTCACCCCTCCAGCCACCATGTTGACGCGCCTCTTCAGCGAACCCAGCTTGATCCCAGAAGTTCAGAAATTCTCCAGCTGGGCGGACGATTGTGAAGAGGATGATTCGAGCGACAAAGAGGAGCAGAAAAGTAAAAGCTGCCCTCTTCAGGAGGACGACTCGGAAGTAAAAGAGGAGAACGACCTGGGCGCTGATGAAGAGGAGGAGGAGGAGGAGGAGGAAGGCATCGAGGAAGCGGAAGGCGATCGACCTAAGAAACGGGGCCCCAAAAAAAGGAAAATGACCAAGGCCAGGCTAGAGCGCTCCAAGATGCGACGCCAAAAGGCCAACGCCCGGGAACGCAACCGGATGCACGACCTTAACGCTGCCTTGGACAATCTCCGCAAGGTCGTGCCTTGCTACTCCAAAACGCAGAAATTGTCGAAGATCGAAACCTTGCGGCTGGCCAAGAATTACATCTGGGCCCTGTCGGAAATCCTGCGCTCGGGTAAGAGGCCGGATCTGGTCTCCTACGTGCAGACTTTGTGCAAAGGTTTGTCCCAGCCGACCACTAACTTAGTGGCCGGCTGCCTCCAGCTCAACTCAAGGAATTTCCTTACTGAGCAAGGCCAGGAGGCCGGGAGATACCACGGGCCCAACTCCAGCTTTGCCATGCATCCCTACACCTACCAGTGCTCGCGGATCTCCAGCGCTCAGTGCGCTTCCAGCACCATGGCTAGCTCCCACGCCTTGCGGACGCACGCTTACTGTGCCACCTACGAGTCCCTCTATGGGAACGCCTCGCCAGATTACAATAGCTCGGAATACGACGGGCCCCTGAGCCCTCCTTTGTGCGTGAACGGGAATTTTTCCCTCAAGCAGGATTCTTCCCCCGACCACGAGAAAAATTACCATTATTCTATGCACTACTCCGCCCTCCCCAGTTCTCGCCCTTCCGGGCACAATTTAGTGTTCGGATCTTCGGGAATGCGCAGTGGCGTCCACTCTGAGAATGTTTTGCCTTACGAGATGCACCTCCATCATGACCGAGGTCCGATGTATGAGGAGCTCAATGCTTTTTTCCATAACTAGCTCCTTTCCCCCTGTTCCCAGAGGCGCCTTGGGAGTCGCGTTCTCCTACCGGTTTCACGAGTAACCGTGACAACTTGTAGATTTCCAGTGTACTGGACTGGGAAAGGGAGGGGGTATTTGGGTGGTATAAACTAAACAGAAAGAGAGAGAATGGGGAGGAGGAGGGAAGAGAGAGAAATAAATAGATCCTCGGCCTTCTTTGATATTCCCCTGTACTTCGTCCCGAGGGCTGCAATTTTTTAAAAATTCAACTGTGAACCACTTTTATCGTAACATTAATAAAAAAAATCGGAAGGGCGGGAGGATAGAATAATAATCATTCCTATTCGTGAACTAATTGAGCTGAACCTTCTTGTTTTGGAGCGAGGGGGAGGGCGTGAGGGAACCTGACCCAACAGCCCCTGATCTGAGGCAGCGGGTTTCAATCCTTCCCAATCCCGTTGAATTCAATGGGTCGCTTTGGTTTTCAGTCACTGGCTTCGATTTAAATGGAAAGTCGGTGGAGTTTTTTCGCGCCTTGGTTTCCGCGGGACTCCAATCCCGATTGGGAATCAGATTATAACCAGAATCTGCGACTTCCCTGCCCCCACTAAGTACTATGAAAAAAATCTGGTGCAATATATATGCTAGCATAATTTTATATTTAAAAACAAACGAAAGGACTCTATAGCTAATAGACTGTTTAGTTGAGATTTTGCCCACCCGAAAACAAAGTTTTAAATCCACCTTATTAGGAGAGACAACCACATTTTTCAAAATTAAAGAGGAGAGTATCAAAGTTTCACCCCATCCTAATGGATTGTCTATGATAAATTATGCCTTATAATTAAAAAATCTCCTAAAGTTCAATATGGCTTTAGAACAAAACAGTTTATAAAAGGCAGGTGATGGGATGAAGGTTTCCATCTTCCCAGTAGCTGAATCAAAAAATCCCCGAAAAAGGTATCTATGCCATCTGCAAACCTTTACATATTTATCTGGGAATTAGTCTTATTAGGCTTAATGGGGCTTACTTCAGTATAAATATGTATCAGCTTGCACAAAATTAAGCTGTTAAAATATTTGCAAACTTTAAATCAAACTTTCAATGCAGTGAGAACTTGACAAAGCAATAAACGGGCAAACAGATGAAAAATATATTCTATCTCTATCTATGCAAGTAGGTATTGAAACTAGAAAAAGAAATAAAAGAAAGGGAAAGAGAAAAGAAAAAACTAAAACAACAACAAAAAGAATCCATATGAAATATTAGAAATATGGACCAACAAACTCGCTGAGATTTAAAATTGTGCACTTTTTGATTTGGGGGAAACGGACCCGTGGAAAGTTTCCCTGGTATTTAACAATCACTGACTTTTTGAACCACCCTTGTAACCCCACGTAACTTACTTTCCAAAATTTGTGTGTCATGCTGTTTTTTACCTGTTTTAAAAATGTTAAAGAAAATGTGGGGGGGGGGGAGATTTTTATGAAATGGCAAAATGTTTTGTTATGCATGGATAGGTTGGGGAAACGCAAATATGCAACTTTTAAAGGTGATGTGAAGAGAATACTATTATGCTTAATATTTCTGTTGGCTTATCCCCCCCCCCTTAATAGTAACTTACATTCTTTCTTTCTGTGATGGGTTTTGGGGAGGGAAGCATATGTTTATGTAATGATACACCAGTATATAAATCTCTCTATAAAAAACAAAAAAAAACAGTAACTTGTAAGGACTCAGAAGAGTATATTTTCCCCAATACAATACTATTTCATTTTTTTGTTTATCTGATAACTTTATTTGAGCAAAAGGAGGATGAAAAAAATTACCTCTAATTTTTCCTCCTTTTAATATGACCTCCATCACCTTTAGACATACCAGCATTTTAAAAAAGATTTCAAAGAACTTACATTTCTGAACAAAGTTTTTAAAATAAAACAACAAAAATCAACAACATTTTACAGAAAAAGAAAAGAAAACTAACAGAGAGAGAGAGAGAGAGAGAGGGAAAAAAAGTTGTAGACAATATGAAATGTCTATGGGACACCAGAAGTGCTTTTTTGTGTGTTTCTGTTCAGTTTCCTTAAGATGAATAAATATTTACGTCAAATGATATGCTAAACAAAAAAAATCTCAAAGTCTTGTTTTAAATAAGGACTAGTCTATATCTATCTATCTGTCTGTCTGTCTGATTATATATATATATATATATATATATATATATATATATATATATATATATATATATATATATATATAAACCATCATAATTGTGTCAAATTTGGTTTATGGCAAGGCATTTTGCATTTTAGAGAGGAAAAAATTTACAGCTCCTTTTACACAAATAATACAGATCAAAAGGCAAAGAGATTTTGAATTGCAGACCTTCTCACCACCCTAACATGGACAAAGTTTAGCTTTTAAAAAGTTCAGGTTTAAAAAAAGATACATGGTTGGTTAAAAAGAGGTGTGGATGGGTGAGTGGGTGGGTGTTGCATGTGTGTAAAATTCTGAAATACAATAGTGTGCTTTAAACATTAATTTGCTACTGTGTCCTGAAATGATTACCAACATTTTGATGGTCTGAGAGCTGCAAGTCAGCTGTGATCTTATTCAGTGAATTGAAGCAGCTTCTGAAGAAGACAATTAATAAATAATAGATGTTGATTTGATTCCCTCAGCATTAGCTCACTTCAAAGAAGTAATGCTAAATGTATAGATGGGCAACAGATTATGGCCAAAGTGTTTCCATAATGTTTCCAAAGTGGGACTGAGAGCTCTCACTCCCAAGACGACTCAAGACATTAAAATAGCAAATAAAAGTGTGTTTTATGTGTTCAAAGATGGTGAAGTGACAAAGATGGTGAAGAATTCAAATATATATTTAAGCAATCCTTCTGAAGACTTATTAATATATAGTTTGATGATAAGTCTTCATAAGACCTGCTTAAAATATATTCGAATTTCTTCACCATCTTTGTCTATTTCTGAACACCTATACTTTTTATGTGCTGTGGAGTGGGGGAGGAAGCCTACTTCCCATTTTATAAAGACTAATGCAGTTTCCTCCTCCTGGACAGATGGCATTTCCCCTGCATCTCCCTCCCTGTGCGCACACTCACACATTCACACACACACACACATGCACACACACACACATGCATCACTTCCCTCTCTGTTTCTTCTTCACACAGAGAGAGAGAGAGGGAGAGAGAGAGAGAAAGGGAGAGAGAGAGAGAGAGGGAGAGAGAGAGAGAGAGAGAGAGAGAGAGAGCGCCACCCACACTCACATTACCCTACTTTCTTTGTGGTCATTTAAGCAAAGAGAAATTTAAGACAAAGTAAGGACAAGTGCAACTAAACACTGATTAATAATAAATCTTTGACGGTTCCTCTCCCATCCCTAAGAAAATCCCTTTCATTATGGAGGAAGCTACTGTAACCCAATAAGGTCATCTGGAAGCTGTCCCAAGTGTGTATGGTGCTGAACTAGAAGCTCTGGGAAAACATGCCCTTGATCTCTAAAACAGCTTTTCTCACACTCAGGAATTCTTGGAGCTGGTTCGCATTCTTATTTGATATTCAAAAGCTCCACATAGAGACATGAGAGATTTTGCTCATGAAGCCAAAAGTTAGAACAACAGGCATGATTTATGTCCCAATAAAAATTCTAACAGAGACAAGCACCTATATTTTACTTTTGGTGGGTGTTGCAGGATCCTGGGCAATTATCAGTTATCTGAAATGGGGCCAAGACAGAAATCAGATTAATCATACAGGGGCAACCGCTCACTCCAAATATTCGTCTTTCTTTAGACAACCTAGCCCTAACCCATTCAAAGCCTAGTTTATCTCACAGCTCACTGGTATGTACAGGCACCTGAATAAAGACTATCTTGTCTGTCCCATGATCTCCACTGTTTGCAGGATTATCTTCTTAAGATAGTTGAAGACGCCATTGGAGGGAAGCTTTATTTAAAAAATAAAACTCGATAATGGTGTATATTTCCTTAAGTTCCACAAGAACAGGACACATATTTCCGTTTGCTGCTGATAGGGGCTGTTTGCTCACCTGCCCTTGGAAAGGTTTGGGGAAATGAAAAGTTTTAAGTAAGTCTATTTTTGGCACGGGCGCACACATACACAAACATACACACTTTTCTTCCCTCCTTTTGAGGATAAAAGAATGAATATAATAAATAAATAATAAATAAATAAATATGCACTAGAAACCTTAAGATCTTTAGCTTTTTAGTAACTTCTGTCTGAGCAGTTTCATTAGTTAAGTCTTCTCTTATACCTCTTCTCCCCCCACTTTCAGAGCTAGTTTTGCCTGGAGGGCTGGAAAGCAGGTGACTGTCCCAACATAGCCAGAAAAGTTGGCTGGGTGACCTAAGGCCAGAGAAAATAGGAAGAGGAAGGTGTGTTGAAAATGTTCACTGTCTTGAGTTATTTATAAAAATAATAATGGTGGGATATAAAATAGGTAGGTAGTTGGGAAGGTAGGTAGGTAGGTAGGTAGGTAGGTAGGTAGGTAGGTAGGTAGGTAGATAGATAGATAGATAGATAGATAGATAGATAGATATTCTTCCTTCTCCCAGCCTGCTCTTTCTTCATTTTTATCCTTTTTCTTCTCTTCCTCCTCTTTCTATTCATCTCTATTTATATGCAAGCTCCTTTTCTATTCTTTAATAAAAAAAATGGTTATAAAAACAAACTGAGTAAAGGGTGTGTGTGTCGGACTAAACTATAATCTTCTAACCTAGTAGTAGATATAACCAGAGAGATTCTAGGATGTCTTCTTTCCTCCCCCATCCAGCTCAGGATTTCTGTCTGCTAATTTGGAATCTCTCTGGAATACCCTGCCTCCTCCTTGAGAAACCATGATGCTCATGATTGAATCCTCTCCCCCACCCCACCGCCCAATCCTTTTCCAGGTGCACATACCATCACATTTGTTCAAGTTCTAGAAAACCTTCCACCCAGCCTTTCCCTTGCATCTCCTGCTCCCCTCTCCCACTCAAGTGCACTTGCACATTTTTTTGCAGTCCTTCCTGACCCAACTTACACTGCACCACTGAAGCAAGTTAGTGTTAATGTTTCCTTCCTTTCCAATGGTGGCTGGACATTCCAATGCTGGGCATTCCAGTGAAAATCACTGTATGCTGCTATTCTATACGAATTGCTTTTAGTCTGATTAAAGCCCAAATCAGCTCCAACCCATGTTTTTTCTGTTTAAATGACTGAAAATGAGCTGCACACCTCCTCTCTCTGCTTAACTAGGGCACAGGTTTTTTCTCTGCCATCTAAGCAATAGAGCTGCAACTTCCGTGATCTGTATGCTCTAACCATGCAAGTGGTTTTTTTTCATCTGCTTTAAAACAAGAGGTTGACGCCAGAAGTTGTGAATCTAGATTGTCAACCTCCCAGTCTTCCTTTTCTCTACACACCTACCATGTTTTCTTTGTGTATATGAGGGGGTTTGAAATTTTTCTAGAAGCCTAAACACCTGTGGAAGAAAAGTATACTATTCCAGTTGCAAACACAGCTACAAACAATTTCAGCCCTATAAACATTCAAATTTCAATTGACAACCATCTTAGTTGTCTCTTAGGTAAGAAGGCAAATACATATTGAAAAAATAAATACAAAGTATTAATAAATGGTTAAGGATGCCAAGGAATTTCAGTCTCCCTGCCTGCACACACACTAAGAAATAATTCTTATTAGTTTTCTTTTTTGAAGAAAATGCTTACACACTAACATGCATGAGAATTCACACACACACACACATGCACACATACATACAGTATATGTACATACACGCACATATATAAAATTTTATGCAGATAAATATTCAGTAACAGGTACATCATCACACCAATTTTCTGGTCCCCATTTTATTTTATTTTCAGAAGGTAGGAAGACAGACAGACAGACAGACAGACAGCAGAATTGTTGTTTAGAGAAACCCAGAGGATTTATCATTTGCAGTTATTTTATCCTTTAAAATACTGCAGCCACAGAGAAATTTCATTACAGACATTATACAAAAGCTTTCCTGCCTCTCCAATGTAAACTATTCAAAGCCATCAATCTACCAGTGTGATGAATTTAGCAATGATGCATATGGAAGTGTATTTCTATACATTGGCATAGAGATACATGTCTCTATTTTAGGAATAGAAACAGCCTGTCACAGCTGGTCAAGGAAAATAGGGCAGACATTTTATCAAAAGGCTAGTTCACACGTGTGCTTTCTAACTGTTCATTGGCTTCAGCTACTTCACACATACTTGTCCATCACTTGATTTCTCTATAAGATGCACCGCCGTTAAAATTCAGGTGCTAGATGAAGGATTTTATTTGTGA